AGTCCTGGGCTTCCTTAATACTCTTTCCCTTATAAGTTAGTAATTCTCGGGTTTTTAGAGTCCTATAAACTAAACATATCGCTAGTAGTATAATAGGTTCTATAATAAGTACCCGAATATTCTTAAGATAGCAAATCTGAGCTTCCAGATTCTCTAGATCCTTTCTCTATTATATCTCTATTTCTAACTTAGTAATATAATAATAAGCTACTGCTAGCTTCTCTATTATTATTATCTTACTAGCTAGTTCTAGGGATATCTGAGTTTTACTTTCTTTTCCTAATTAGATAATAACTAGAGTAGCTAACTGGGCGCTTCTCTAGATACCTGACTAGGTCGCTCTAGTAATAGTAGAGGCGCTTCTTCTAGTTAATACTCTAGCTATTAGTAGTTTTATCTATTAATGGCTTAATTACCTTATAATAAACTGCTTCCCAAAGATTGAATTAATTAGAATATGAGGCACATAATAATAGGGTAATATATAAGTAGTTAAGGTAAGTAAACTACGGAGTAATACTTGCAAGTATAACTAATTTCAAGAATTAATTCTAATAAGAAACTAATTAATGCCTCTTTTAAAGCTAGGAGTATCTTCCTATATATTTCCTAGTACTTAGCCAGGCATATAAAGCCCTTTACTTAATTAGGAAATCCCATGCAATTTATATGATTCTAATTACAAGCTATACCCAAAATAGGAAACTAGATTCACGATATCTAATACCTGTCCATATACTATTATATATACTTATTATAATAAGATCTTATAGAATAATTATATATTACTAGATCTAGAAAAGCTATATATAATAGCCTAAGCCAAAAGTAATATCTAGATACTATAAAACAGCCTTCTTTTATATTATAGAAAACTTTATATTATAGAGAATAAAATAATTCCCCGGATTATTTTTATAAATTACTTTAATTTATAAAATATATAATAAATTCCTTTCTAAATATCCTAGATATATAAAGCTCTATTAGCTATTAAAGAAGTAATATTACTAGTTATTTATAAATAAGAATATTAATTAATATTATAGTAATTACTATACTTATAAAAGATTATATATATTTAGAAATAAGAAGCCTGATTTATTTTATTTTCTTCTAGTTCCTAATTATCTCTAGTAATATATTACTATAAATTTTAAAAGCTATTTAGAAAGTAAATCGGGCTATAATATAATTATTATATTCGCGAATTACTTATTTAAGTATCTAATTATAATTCTAGTACGAGATATAATTATAACCAAGTAACTAGTATTTCTATTTTTATTTTATATAATATATTAAATAGATATTTTAGAAATAATTATATTAGATTAAGAACTCTAATTTATATTCGATTTTTAAAGCGAATTTTATATAAGAATTAGTATAAAGCTTAAGTTTTCTATAGCTAATTATTCCTAAATAAATAAATAAATAAAAATTATTAATTAGTATTTTAATTAAAGATTATATTCGTATATTAACTATTACTAGGATAATTAAAATAAATAAATTACTATAATTAATTATTAATAAGTCTTTTTTTAGTATAAAACTATTAACTAGTTCCTATTTATAACTAAAAAAAAGCTATAAGCCTCGTATTTCTCTAAACTAAAATTCCTCTATTAAAGCTAATTTACCTAAAGAGAAGCTAAATAAAAATAAAACTAAAGTATTAGTAAATTAATTATATGAATTATAATAACTTGCCTAAGGCTATATAAAATAAATATAGGAATAATATATAGTATAAGCTAATAAGTACTACTATTTAATTAATTTCAAAGTCGGAAATAAAATATAAGTTATTATAAAATACTAGAAATCTAATTATTTAAGCCAGAAGCTAAGGAACTAAATAGAGGACCTATTTGAGATTCTAGAATAGTATAGCTATTTGTTTCTCCTAAAACTACTAGAAATTATAAAGATATATCTAGTTTTCTATATAAAGAAGCTATAAAAAGATTCCTAGAATTCTTTATTAGGTTAAGTAAATCCGGAACCGCTCCTATTAATACTAGAGAATAATAAATAAAAGTATAGTATTAAATAAGTTATTATAATTAAGCTAGTAAGAAATAGGCTAAAGTATAGAATTTAGTAAATTAGTTAGAATAAAGATCTAATATAATATCTAGCTTTAGTACTAAGTAATAGTCCCCTGGTTTTATAAAGTTTTTATAATAATAATATTAATATACTAGAATCTCTATAAAACCTATAATACTAGCTAGATTATATAAAAAATAATACTTGTCTAGAATTATACGGAAATAATAATAAACTCTTCTAGGTTATATAGTAAAGATACTAGCCTTTTATATATAATATTTATATCCGAGATATTAGTTTTATTTTAGGAAGAAGTATAATACGAAATTAGATAAATTAATGGCTTTTATAAAGCTTAGAAATAAGCTTATTATAAAGAGAAAAGTAATATTATAATTTCCAGATATCTAATATCTGAGATATCTTACTAGATACTAGATACTTCCTAGATATATATAATATAGCTGCTTTATTAGAAAAGTATACTTGGAATATACTAGAGATATTTAGAAGACTAAGCCTCTTTGGAACTAGTATACTATAGGATATATATACTTCTTTATAGCTTTCTGTATTCTAGTTTTCCCTTCCTTAGCTTTAAATCGTTTTTATAAAAGACCTTTTACTTTACTTTCCAAGCCCTAAATACTATATCTATAATAAGAGAATTATATCTTTAAAACTTATTAAATATACTCGATTAAATTAAGATTTAAAAAACATATTAGCTAGTTCTTAAATAATATAATTCGCATTTTTATAAACCAAGTCTTAGTTTTTTTATTTAATAAATAAAAGTATTATTTTATATAAATTTATAATTCTTTTTAAGTTTAAAAAAAATTAAAAGAATTCTCCTTTAAAGTCTTTAAATAAAACTTTATAAAGTACTTATTATAAAAAAGAAACTATAATAAAACAAAACTTATATAAAGTATACTAAAATATAAAATAAAAATAAAGATATATATAATAAAGTATAAATAATATATAATTATAAAAAGCTTAATTAAATAATATAAAGAAAAGTTATTTATTAAGAATTATAAAAAAGCTAGCTTTTTATATAATTTCTTTAAGTTATATAATAAATACTTTAGCTTTTATTATATAATTAAAATTCGAAAATTACTAAAAATAATATAATATTTATAAAATATAATTTATTATATTATATTAATTTAAATTTTTTATTTATAATATAAAAGCTATTTCTTTTAATATTTTAAGAAGCTTTTTATAACTTTTATAATTATTATTTCTTTATTAATATATTAAACTATTATTTATTTTATTTTTATATTATATTTATTATTTCATATAATTATTATTAAGTTTTTAAATCTTTTATTTTTATATTATAAAAATTAAATATTAATATTTTTTTTATATTTCTAATTTTTAATTTTATATATTTTCAAGATTTTCTTAATTATATATTTTTTGAAATATTATTTTAATTAGCTAGTTCGAAATAAAAATTGCTTTTATTATATAATATTTCTTTATTAATAATATTTATAATTATAAAATATAAGTAATTATAATATATTAATTATTTGTTTTCTTTTAAACTCGAATAAAAAACTTATATAAAGCTAATTTTTATTAATAAAATTAAGAGAAATATATTAAAATAATATAATTATATTTTTTATTATTTCGAAATATGTTTATATTAGAGGTTTAAATAAAAAAGAATAAAAATAGTAAGAAATTTATATTAAAGCTAAGCTTTAATATATAATTAATACTTATTAATAAAAGAATATATATAAATACTATTACTTATAACCTATAACTTGCTTATTATTTAGTTTATTTTATAATATTTCAAATAGTTATTTATTTATTACTTGCTTATTTATTATAATACTTAAGATTTTTAAGTATTTTCTTATTTATATCTTTTAAATAATAATAATAATAATAATAATAATAATAATAATAATAATAATAATAATAATAATAATAATAATAATAATAATAATAATAATAATAATAATAATAATAAAATAATAATAATAATAATAATAATAATAAATAATAATAATAATAATAATAATAATAATAATAATAATAATAATAATAATAATAATAATAATAATAATAATAATAATAATAATAATAATAATAAGTAATAGTTATATAACCTTATTGTGACGGCAGGAACAGAGCAATGGAACGAGGCTCAAAGATTAATGATTTCCTATGTCTTAAGGATTTAAAGCTAAGGAGGAAAGGTGTGAGGTGTGGCAGTGGATAAATAGGTATGGCCAAGACCACTGAAACGCCGAGCTTTGGAAGCGAGCTTAGTTTGAACCATAGCTTGGAACCTTAGCTGAAACCAACCCCTTTGGCTGAAACCACGTCCGTATCAACCATGTAACACCAGCCGTCACACTTATATGATATAAGCAACTTGACTAGTAGCTAATTTCTATTAGGACTAGTAAATTTAGGAATTATATATTAATATTATAATATTATATACTTAAGTTTAGTAAGTTGTGGAAGTTGATATCTTGAAATCAGAAATCAGAAATCAGAAATCAGAAAATCAAATCTCGCTTCCGGGTTTTGTCGACTAGCCAGTTGTGGGCCTCAGTAATATAGGCCCGAGCCGATCCTACCTGTGCCAAGCCTTCTCCGACTTCGTTCTCAAACCCGACGAACTCCTCTGGCTTCACAGAGACAGAAAGAGAAGTTGTCATCAATTGAGAGACCTTAATCGTCGAGCCGCTTCGCGCTCACAAACTTGTAGGAAGTTTGTTACAAGTCCGCAGTGCGAACGCGTGCGCTCTTCTGCGCAACCATTGCGGTTCAAGAGGTTTCCGCCTTACCAGCCCCGGCTCTAGGTGCTGCAGCATAAGGTTAACGGATCAGCGGATCACCAATTGCAAAAGCGTTGACAATAATGAACGATTATAATATATTACGTGGAGACAATACCGACTATCTATCTTCCTCTCCCGACGACGAGGCCGATGCTCTCTCCTGATGCACGACGTCGCTCCTATCGTCAAACGACACTGCTTTCTCAATACTCCAGATATCCTCAGTACTATCTGACAGATCCGTCCCTTGCGCCTTCCTGGCCCTCTTTCCAAGGGTTATCGCGACCCCATTATCTCCCACCGCAACCGTACGCGTAATAGCGGTTCTGTCTACCATGCTCGGCGCCGCATTGCCCATTTCCCTGATTAATATGCGCCGTGTGAGGGTATACAGGACGGCATCGACAAAACCGCAAGAGGTCATTAGCGTTGCTCCGATACAGTAAAATGTCAGGGGGACTTTTGCACCGCTCCAGAGGGCCAGGCGTCCCGCCGGAAGGGGCAGCGATAAGGCAATATAGGCAGTAGGGTAAAGGACCATAAATCGTGCAGCGCGGCTAATCTTTTCGGAGCTCGCAAGTCGAGAGGCAGGAAGTGCCTGCTTTATATGGTAGCGCAGGAGGCAGAAAATATATGCGTATATTACTACGCTACCGAACTGCGAGAGGAGAATCCAGAAATAGTGGAGGCCAAGACGCTAAAAGGCAGTTTATTAGCTACTATTTGAATTCAAAGCTAATTAAAGCCGGATTATAATTTTGGCAAATAGAGAGAAAGCTTACATAGTTAGCGTAATCTTGGTTTATCCAGCACTATTCCATTATTTATTAGCAGTGAGAATAGAAAAGACAAAAGGAGGACCAAGAATGAGAAGTAATATACCCAGGCACCAGTGTTTACAAAGTAAGTTTTTGGATGCGAGATAGGTCCAATAATTGCAAGGAGTAAAACGAAAACCCAGATTCCAATAAGGCAATAACAAAAGCGGATATATTCTATTTGATGTCCTTTTACGACCGAAAACCAGGTATGAATCGCAATAGATAAGACCCAAATACCACTGGAAATGTCGCCAACCTGAACAAGCCATCCTTGAATAAAGCAAGCTGTGGTTGGAGCCAGAATACCATTCTTCGCAATCCAATGGAAACTAATAAGAAAGGCCATTGACTGCTGACAATCGGCAAGAATAAGGTTAAAGATTAAGACAAGATACTGATTATAACCAGGATAAGTGCAATAGTACTTCCGCCAGGAAACCATGTGGTAAGTAATGAAACAGCTTAAACTAAGAGTGCTTAAAAAGGATACCAAGGCCATAATTGCAACTGGTAGAAGGATAGTTCTCAGGTCCCCCAAGAGAGGATCGGCGCTATATGGAGACGGAAAATATCCATTGGGACCTCGAGTTGCTTGCAGAACCAAAGAGGACGTTGAACTGGGCATTGTGTTAATGTAAGTGGTGACCAGAGTCGAGTTCGAGGCTCGCCGCGAGGTTGAAAATATATGGGAATGAGAAGCGAAATACGACTTGACTCGACACCACTTAAAAGCAGGGTTCTCGGCTTCGATGATTAGGGATAACTTAATCCCTGGGGTGCATGAGAATGAAAATCGCTCAAACTACTGGTATTCATGACGTCGGGTCCCAGTTGCCACGAGGAATGTGGGGCTCGTTTAGGTGAGTAGGTGAAGGCAATGAGGGGGAGGGAATCCTTCGACGGTATTCGTGTTTTGGTGGTCGCCTGCCTCTCTCCTAGGATGGATCGGACAGAAGTTTCCCCCGACTGCTCCCGAGTGCTCGGCGCTCCATCTACGGCGCCGACCGAACTTCCGAAGAAAGACAAAGGAGTGACGAGGACAAAGATCAGATTGGATGCAGCTTCTGGAAGGATTTCGGAGAGGCGCACATCTCCTGTTCCGCTCCGTCACCTGTAATTCGAGAGGAGGTTCTTTTACTTACTGGTACGTCGGTGTTACGATCAAACTAATCTCTGTCCAACTCAGTTAATAGCTCTCAAATATATATATACAACATAGAGCAGTGACTCTTAGTTGCCACCTGAACTGGCCCGCGCCAAAGCAACAGCTGTCACCTGACTCATATCAAGGCAACCATATCAAGTCAAGAGTCGGGCCTAAGTCGGCCTCGTGAGATGAACGATGGGCGGGATTCTTTGAGGCCCTGAGACCCAATACCAATGGGGATCGCATCTTGCAAAACAGAGTTTTGCTAAAATATGGGGAAGGTGGGCGAGTAACCGAACTCCCTACCAAAAGCACGACTCTATGAAAAGCACGTTTTACATAAAAATAGTTTAATTAATTAAAAATAACCATTTTATAAAATAGTCTAATTTTTTAAATAAAAGATTTTCTAAGTATATAGAATATACTTTAAATATTATATAAGTAATCTTTTTTGGGCCTTATTTATTTTCGGGGCATTTATATTAATTTTGTGACATGTGTCGGCATGCATGCGGCTTACGGTTGACTGTGGGCACGTGACTACACTCCAGCCATTTAATCGTGATTAGGCGTATTCACCAGTGGTGTATACTGAGCCTAATTCTGAGTTTCAAATTAGCTAGCTTTTTCTTAATATCTTCTTTCGGGATAATATTATAATAGCTTTTCCAGTAATATAAATTTATAATATTAAAGTCCGGCTTCTTTATTTCATTATATTAGGGCCTTTTATCTAATATATTTATAATAGTAATACTTAATTCCGGGCTATTTATAATAGCTTTAGAAAGAATATTAATTATAAAAATAAATACTAAATAAGTTCTTTTTATTTAATATTAGTAAACTATAACTAATTATTATCTTATTTAGTTTTAAATTAATAAACTAAAGCCGATTATTTTTCTTCTTATTTTAAATTAGTAAACTATAATTAATTTTTCTTATAATAAGAAAGAGAACTAGTTCTTTTACTTTTATTAATATTAAGGAAATATTATGTACTCTAGTTATAAGTCAAATTTCGAGGTTAATTAGATTATAAAAGAATAGGATTTTTCTTTTTTTATATTAATAAAGAACTAATTATTAAAAAAAAGAATATTATTTGCTTTAGTTAAGAGCCAAACTTCGAGATTAATTAAGTTATAAAGAATATTATTCTTCTAGCTAAGTTTTCTAGTTCTTTATAATTTAAGAAAGCTATTAAATATTAAAAGTAATATTTTGTTTTTGCTTTTTAAAAACAAATATAAGTTCTTTACTAGTAGTATTAATATATTAAATAATTTAATTAATTATAATTATTAGCTAGTAATTAAATCAAATTAAGTTAGAATTATAATAATTAAATTATAATTAATTATTTACTTAATTTAATTAAATATAATTAATTACTGGGTTATATATTATTATATATAATTATAATAAAATAAAACATATTTTATTCTAATTTAGATATTACTTTATTATTATAGGCTTAATAGCTAGTATTATAGAAGGGAAACTATAATAAGACAAAAACCTATATAAATTATACTAGAGTACAAAACGTAACTTAATAGTAAAATATAAATAATATATAGTATATAAAAGCTTAATTAATTAAATACTTATAAGGGATTATTCTTTAGGACTATAGAAAAACTAGCTTTCTTATATAATTTCCGCAAGTTATATATAAAAGGCTATAGCCTTTATTATATAACCTAAACTTTAAAACCGCCAAAATAATATAATTTTTAATAAGTATAGCCTACTATATTATATCTAATTCTTTATCTATTTATATTTATTCTCTAAATACTAAAAATAATAGAAAAATCCTATTCAGAATCCGAAATAATGAAATATTTAGGATCCTCTTCTATTAGTTAATCTAATTTCTCCTCTATATACTTAAAATAAGACTTATTACCTTCAAATAGTCTTATTTTATACTTCTGAACTTACTTAAAAGTAATCCGAACCCGTTTAGCCATATTCTTATACTAAATCTAATATAGTTCTTTATATTAATTAGTATCTGCCTTTAATTATTACTTAATTTCTGTTTTTACTACAGGATATTAAGGAGGCTTATTATAGTAAATTATATTATAAATCGTACTAATATACTCTAAATAAATAGCTTCTTCGAATTTCGTATTATTTATAGTATTCTTAAATTAATCTTTAATAAGAGAGAAAAGCTCTAGATAAGAGGCTTTAATAATCTTATAAAAGACTTTATTCTCGTATATTTTATCTTTAATAGTAACTAGACTTATTAGAACTATAGTAAAAGGTCTATTAAGTAGTAAATTATTATTAAGCTATTCTTTAACTTATATATTATTCAAGAATTAATACTTTCTTATAATTCTAGACTTATAGATTACCTAGCTAAAAGCATTTATTTATCTAGTTAAATAAACTATATTTAAAGTCTTTTCTCCTATTATTTTTAGTAAATACTTACCTAATTCTTTAGCTATTTCCGGCTTAAATTTATTAGAAATAAAAAAGTAATTAATATTTTTAAAGAACTTCTTACTAAAAGTAGTAGCTTTCTTATAGTCTATAAGAAAAATATAGCTAATATTTCAATACTCTTTACTAAAATAGAATTCGCTACTTAAAGCTTTAGTAGTAGCTAGATCCTTAGTATTACTTTTATACTAATTATAATTAATATTTCCAGAAATATAGTATCTAGCTAGCTAAGAGTAAATAACTAGATATATAGGGTATTTATTTAATATCTTATAAAATCCGAGCTATATTAATAGATCTGCTATTAAAAGTTAAGAGGCTAAGATAAAATAACTATTATTAAGATCTTTATGTATTATTTTTTCGGAAATAGAACTATAGTATTTCTATTTCTTCTATTAAGAATTCTCAAATACTAAGCTTCTTAATCTACTTTAAATAATTCTTCTTATAAATATAGCTATTTATATCTAGATTAGTAATACTAGACTTAGGAATAGAAACTATAATATTGAATTAAAGCTATAAATTGGAGCGGAATTAATTAGAAATATAATACTTATATCTATATTACTTAATTTTCTAGGTCTTAAAAAAGAAATCCCGTATTTCCTTATTTACTCAAGTAATAGAAATATATTTCTTGCCCTTAATAATTTTATAGATCTTAGTAACTAGCTTTAGAGTATCTTTAATATTTCATATATTAATAAAGAAAATATTAGTAAGCTATTAAATATATTCTATATAAGGAGCTTTAAGAAATCTATTATTAACCCTATAGTATTCTTACTTATAAATAGATCCTAAAATACTATTATATATTTCTTTAAAAATATACTTATTTTACTAAGCAAGTATTAGCTTCTATTTAGCTAGTATCTTATAAGTATACTAAATGCCTTTATTAAGTTCTTCGGACTTAATATTCTTAATCTTTTATTTCTTGGTTCTAAATATAATTACGGGAATCTTTCTAGATAGTATTTTTTTTTTTAGAATAAAGAATTTCTTCTTGCTTTTCTTTATTTTACTAATCTTATATTTAGTCTAGTATTTAGATCTTTATTATTTATTAGAGTCTTAGGCTTAGCTTATTCTTTATTCTTACCAGATTCTTCTTATCTAGTTATACTAGTTCTACTAGCCTTACTAATAGTTTTCTTATTAGGCTTTATTAAATTAGCTTTATTTTTCTTAGCTAGATCCGGTTAAGTTAAAGCAGAAATTATAATAGGGGCCTATTTTTTAGGCTTATCTCGAAAAGCAGGAAAAGGCTTATTACTATAAACTTCCTTACTTAAAATTCCGGAAATATTAAAAATATATTATCTAGCTTTAAGATTATTAGCTAATAATAGCTTAAACTCTAATTCTTTAGGTTCCGAAATAGCTTTAGTATATTTAAATACCTTAGTAATATCTAATTTAGTAAATATACTAGTATTCTAATATTTCTTATTCTTAATATATTTCAAAGTAGCTTTATTAATTAATTAAATAGCTTTATATATTAAAGCTTTTATTTTAAAAAGAAAGTATAATTTCTTATAAACGTTTTTATTAAGATTATTACAGATATTATTAATATATTAGCTAAAAGCTTTATTATATAGTATAATTTCATTCTAATCCTTAGTATTAAGACCGTTTATTATTCCTTCGTCCGGTGAGACATGTCCAGCGCTAGCAAGGGGTGTGTGGCTGCACGCAAGCCTCATCTCGTTTTATTACGCTTCAAGAGGCTTGCGTGCAGCCACACACCCCTTGCTAGCGCTGGACATGTCTCACCGGACGAAGGGATAGTCTTAATCTTATTAAGTTTTTCTTATTTGCCTTTAAAAATGCCTTTAATAATATTCTTGAATTCCCTATTATTAGCTTAGTAGTTCTTTAGTTCCTTTTTAGTTAATCCTAGTCTAGTTCTATTTCTAATAAAAAATTTCTATTTTAAGAGCTTATTATATATATTACTTAGCTTATCTAGAATATTCGTATTAAATTCGGTAATTATAGTTATCTTTTCTAGTATTAATAGGTCTTTTATAACTATCCAAGCTCCTTTAATACTCTAAACTTTAATACTATTAATTCATAGGCTTTTAATAATACTATAGCTTATAAGAACTAGCTATTATACTTTACTAGCTTAAGAAATCTATACTTCGGCCATTTTATTATTTTTAATAAGTTATAAAAGTATTATTAGTATAATAATTATAGGTTATAGAATTAAAGATTCTTAAAATTATAAGAATTTCTTTTAAATATATTCCAAAATAAAGAGTAAATTAGAATAAACTTGGATTATATAAAGATATTATATATATTCGAGTTTTTTTTTCTTTCTAGTAAGAAAATAAAGCTAAAATAATAATATATATAATAGAGAAAATAGATATAATAATTAGATATATTTAAGATAATATAATTATAAATTAGGAATAATTATAGAAAGTAAAATATAAAATTAGACTTTTATTATAGAAAAGAATATAAATATATATATTTAAAAGAATATAATTAAGGAAATAATTAAGGCAGATTAAACTAAATAATAATAATAGAGAAATAAGAAAATAATATAATAGAAATATAAATATAGT